CCGTCCCCGCCCTGCCCCCACCGACATCTGCAGAGCCACCCTCCACTCCCCGGAAGGCGCTGCGGCCGCCGCGCGCCCTCCGCCCCCGGCCATCTGCGCTCTCCTCCGCGGCTCCCCACCGACGACCTAGCCCCCGTCCCCGGCCTCGGGGGTCCCCGCAACGCCCCTCCTTTGCCCTGCAGCGCAACCTACCGCAGCTTCCCTTCTACGGAAATCACTGCAGAGACCCCTCCCCTTCCAAGCGCGCCCCTAAACACCCATGCATTTTCAGCTTTGTGAACCTAATGGCTGCTCGCAAACAATATGCACCCCCTCTCAGTCCCAGTGGCCCTCGCCTCCCCGTAGCACACGTAGGTAACTAAGTTTGTGCGAGGGTCACCTCGGAGAGAGAAGCTCGGCGGAGGGGCGGCAGCTGAGCCTGGTGACCCTGAGCTTGGACGGAGGAGGGGGGCTGCTCTCTTGCTTCCACCTCCACCACACACCCTCCCCGATTTACTGACACCAGGTGACCGTTCTCCAGTCGCTAGGACAAGGGAGGCAGAGAGGCGCGTGTGGACCGCAGCAGGGGAAGCAGTTGGCTGCGGGTTGCTAGGCAAAAATAAACACCAGAGACACCTCCCATTTCCTTACAACTCCGAGCCTTTCCTGGCGCGGCCACTGGGAGAGACCCACCTTCCTTTCAGGCTTTCCGCCGAAAGGGAGCGACACCTTTCTTTCCTCTTATCTCTGAGGTGAATCTTTCCCTTTCCCTTCCAGAACACGTGGCAGTTACCCCTGCCATTTAAATTTGCCATCTATAGCTTCTTTTAGAAACAAACAAAAAAAATTGCTCAGCCCACACCCGCTCGTGTGCATGGCACGCTGCGCACCTTTGTCCAAAGGTTACAGGTTTTGCCACTTCAACACTTGGGCAGGGGTGGGGAGCCGGACAAATCCTGGATGACCGGGCAGAAACCTGCCTTTATGCCCTGCACTTTCTCCATGCGAGGTGCCCGGTTCCGAAGTTCTCCTGAGCAAAGGTCCATTATGCTCCGCCTTGCTGCGTGTATCTCCTGGACCCTGGCCAGACCAGGTGTGCAGCCCAACTAGTAGACCCCAGCCGGAAAGAAGCCTCCCCTTAGGAGTTCCTCGCCTCCACTGTTTGCAAATTGTCATAGCAACCTCCCACAGAGATTACCCTCAACTTTATGCAGGTGCCAAAAGCTGACTGTTTCAAGGTACACTGGCCTCGCGGAGAGGCACTGAGGGCCTAGGAACAGGTGGCAAAGAGGAGGATTTGCCTACTAAGATGGCCCTTCCAAAGACATCGTCTCTGAACCTTCTGGTAATAAAATGAAATCACAGTAAAATAATCATTCCGACCTGGCCCCTGCGGTTCATATCCCCCATGGTTATCATCAGATTATCACATTCAAATCCCCTTGGGGAAACGTGTTTAGTGTTTAAAATTAACTAAAAGGAAGGGCCACTAAGTGGCAGAGATGAAGTTAGGGTCTATTTCCTGACTTCCGGTTCAAATGCACTATGTTTTTCATCATGCTGCCCCAAAAGTTCAAGAAAAAACATCTTTTTACTTTACTTCTCTCCCTTTAAACAATTGTTCTCATGCCATTTTTCTTTCTTTCTTTCTTTCTTTCTTTTTTTTTTTTTTTTTTTGGCTTTATTATTTTGGAGAGGCTTTACTATAGGGCATGTGCGCTCACCAGAAAGACAGAGAGACACAGAGATAGAAAGCGAGAAATCACCCCCCAGAGGGGATGGCCACACCGCAATTCCTTCTCCTCTAGTCTCCTCTTGGGATCTTGGGCACACACGCACATGCGCCCAGCGTGAGTTTAAGCCACCAGGTCCGGGACTCGATCTTAGGTTGACTACAGGGAGTTCAGCGACATAGCCATTACACTAACTGCTGGTCCCCCATTTTTCTTTCTTAATGTGTTCTCCATACAACTGAAGTTCAAAAAAAAAAAATTGAAACTATTCAATAATTTGACACCCCCTTTCTCTTATTCTCATAATATTTCAGTAGAAGTTAAATATGGTATTATTTTTTTCTTTCCAAACTACTGGGAGTCATAGTTTATGAATTCCACATAACTGATATTAATTTATACATTAAACATGAAGAAAACGAGCACTATTTTTCTGACAAAAACACAAAGAACCAAAAACTTTAATCAAAGAAAGAAAATGTACTTGTTTAGAGAACTTTTCTTGGTATATTGTCCTGTGACATGACAAGTCATAATTTTAACTTCATATTTTTTGTAGTTTAAGAAGAGAATTTTTTTTTTTTTTTTGCCAGAGGGCAAGTGTGCTTGCCTCAGAGGAGAGAGTGTGTGTGAGAGAGAAAATACCACTTTGTGAGGTATGGTTATCCCACAATCCCTCTTCCTGTATTTTTCCCCCTGTCAGGATCCTGGGCACATGTGTACACACACACACACACACACACAGCATGATTTTCAAGACTCTGGGGCCAGGATTCAAACCAAGGTCATCCGTTTTTCAAGACTCTGGGGCCAGGATTCAAACCGAGGTCAGCCATGGGATTGGGCTCCATATGCCCAGGGGCTAACTGCTATGCTATACAGCCAGCCCTAATCTAAGGAAAATTAGAAATAAATCTAGTCCTTAGCCATTTGGATTATAAATGGTGTATCTTGGAAAATTATATTAATTCTTACTGACCTCTAAATTAGTATTAAGAAGTGCTTGGATTTCTCTCACTCTGGTAAATATTGATGGCCTCAACCTTAATGAATGTCAAATATTGGGTTGTCAAAAAAGCGAGGATACATTTTTGCATAGAGGAAAATACATCACCACTTTTACAACAACTCGATAGATATACAAAGTCACTTCTTGGGCTTTTGGAGAGAATTATCAAGGTAATTCTGAGAGTTTTTCCTCAAACCTTGTTATGATAATGTACCACGATTTATTATACTGTCTATTTATTTCTTTATAAATCCCTTTCACAAATATTACCATGTTTAATCTTCACAACCCATACCCATAGCTGAGTTGACTTTAAACATTAACTCTTTTAGGAGTTTTATTCAGTTAGTAAAAATCTGTTCTTTGGTCCTTGTCTGTTATAAAAACTCTATCATGTATGTTTACAAAACCCATATTCAAATAACAAGTAGGTAGTCATCGTATGCCAGGAGTAGAGAAAAATAAACTCAGGGAAATTCAGAATCGAGCCTTATGAAAGAAACCTGATTTTTCACTGGGAAAGTACTAATCCTGAGGAATATTGGAAATTAACAAGAAAGGGCCAGCAGATGGCATAATAGTTATGTCACTGGACTCCCACATAGGTGACCACGTTTTGAATCCCGGACCCAGCAACTTAAAACTCATGCCAGGCGCATGTATATGAGTGCCCAAAATCCCGAGAGGAGAATGGAGGCAAAGGGACTGCAGCATGGCCATCCTCCATGAGAGATGACTTCTCTCTTTCTGTCTCTCTGTCTCTCCAGCAAGTGCACATGCCCTATACCAAAAATCTCTCTTTAAAAAAAAAAAAGGAAGAAAGAAAAATGCAAAAAAAAAAAAAAAGAGCAAGAACACCACTGCTTTCAAAACTTATTTAGTCATCCCAGAAACACAGAAACACATACCAAGAATTTAGTATGTGCTAGGCCTAGGAGATAAAATGAATCATCAGATGTAGCAGACTGCAAACTATTGGAAACTCATTCTTTTATTTAATTAAGCAGTAAGCACTTAATATAAATAAACATTTTTATATTACTAATGGGTGCTATGGTCTGAATGTTTGGACCACACCCCCAAATTTGTATGTTGATGTCTTACTCCCAAAGTGACAGCGTTAGGAGGTGGTTAGGTGCCCTCATAAAGGAGGCCAGAGTGGGCGGGCTCCCTATGATGCAGAAATGTACTGCTGGAGAGAAGCTGGATCCCACATGACAACTGTAGTTCAAATTCTCAACCCAGTCGGCCCAAAACACACTGGGCATGCATGTGCCCAATGGCTGATGTGCTAGAGGACCGAAGCAAGGGGATCACTGCATGACCAGACCCTGTGGAGGCTGCTCAGTTCTCTTTCTTTTACTCTCACTTACTCTTTCAGGAATAAAGAAAAATAAATTTAAAGACTGCAGAGAGTTAATAGCCTTTCCTACTTTGTGAGGATGCAACAAAAGGCAGTATGAACCAGACCCTGAATCTGCTGGAGCCTGACTTGAACTTTTTAGACCCTAGAACCAAAAGAAATAATTTTTTTTTTCTTTTTAAGTCACTATTTTAGTCCATTCTGTTGCCAGTAGCAGAAATAGCTGAGTCTGGGTAATTTAAAAAGAATAGAGGTTTACTTAGCTCACAGTTTTGGGGGTCCAAGTTCAAGGGGCTTCATCTGGTGAAAGTTTTCCTACTGGTGGATAACGTGGTGGAGGGTGTCTCCTGACAGGGCAGGAGTGAGCACATACTTGCATCTCCTTATAAACACACGAGTACCCTATCACAGAGGCCCAGTCCTGATGCCTAATAATACCCAACACCATACTCAGATTAAGTTTCCATTCTCTCAACTATAAAAATGATTGAAATCACCAGATTTCAATACATAAACTTTGAGAGGGACACATTCAAGCCATAGTAGCAACCTAGTCTATGGTGTTTCGTTGTATCAACCTAAATGGACTAAGACGTGGGGCTATAGCGTTGCTACAAAGGAGCTCATAGTCAGCAGGTGAGGCAAGAAATCTGATTCGCAGGAACGAAAAGCAAAGCATATAGGAGGCACAGCAATGGTACACAGAGGAAGGGATGCGCTGTACGTAAGCAGTGTGCAGCATAAAAAGGACTGTCCTCCTATGGAGGTTTTAAGGATGCTTGGGAGTTTGCCAGTCAAAGAAGTCAGGCTAGCACATTCTTGGCAGAAGATATAGATTGTGTAGAGCTCCTACAGAGTAAGAAAGTAGGATGTATCCTGGGAGAAGAGTAAGTGATTCAGAATAGAGGAAACTTGCATGGCTGGGACAGGGGTGGTCCTGTTATTCTCATAGGGTCAGGGTTATGGATACCGTTAGATTCGAAATTACTTTAAACTTCATCTGCTGTGGAAATGTGGAACAAGGTACAAGGGTATTTGGAGGAACTATGCAAATGACTAAGAATTTTGGGTGACATAGACTGGGTTAGGCAATTCTAACTCCCTTTAGGACACCATTAACTCATGGTACCATCCATGACTCCATCACCATGGTCCGGAAACCACCTAGAAAATAACATAGAGAAATTATGTTCTAAAGTCCATTCATGTAAATTCCTCCAATGTAGGAGGGATGGATGACGTCATAACAAAATAGCTACAAGATATGTATGTCCATTTGCCTGAGGAAGATAGCTCTGTGGCAATGCTGGTGTGAAAATCAAGAAGGGGTTTCTGTCCTACTAGAAAGTTAGTGATCTAAAGTGGTCAGGTTGGTTATATTTCAGTCAGGGTATTTACAGAGATGGAGGCACATTTGCCACCACCACCCCCTCCCCCCAAGGCAAGACAGATATTTTAAAAGGTTGAAGAGTGTATCTGGCATTTCTTGCGATAAGTCATCTGATATTTCCTTCCAACTGTGTTGGAAGTTGGCATTAATGTTCTAGACCACTAGGGTGTGAAAGAGACACTTAGACCTGGGAGGTAGGAGTGCTTTGATAAGCACAAGCACATAGATAAAGCCATGGGGGAACCTCTACTCAAGCTCTACCTTTGCTTCAGCCTGGATAAATGCCTGCAGAGTGGTGCCTAGTGGTAACTGGAAATGTGGGAGAAACTCTCTACTATGGAGCTTGAGATGAAAGAAACAGTGATACAACTCTATAAGCCAGAGAAGAGTAAGGGAAATGGTCCTTTGGCAGTCCAGGTTTTGGGGTCTTTGGGGATACTCTGATCAAAAGTAATGCCAGAGGTATAGCGAGCCAGAAAGTGGTGAGCAGGAGAGAGAAGGGTACTCCATGACTGTGAGCACTGTGAGAACTACCCAGGACACTGTTGCTGGCTTACCTAAAAAAAAAGAGTTTCTGGAGGGAGTTAAATTTGTTTTAGCTAAGGATGGATGAAGGGCAAGAGCCACGATCCACATTCAAATTGTCAGCACTGCTCCTAAACAATGAAATGAGACCCAGCTTGACTGACAACTTGATCCATTAATTATATACATACATACATACATATATATATAAGTTATCACGCTCCTACTACATGTCAGGCACTGATCTACATATTGAGAACAAAGCAGATAAAGTTCTTATTCTACAGATCTTATGTTCTAGTGAAAGGAGAAAAACAGTGAGAAACCGTACCTTGTCAGGTGAGGATAAGTCCCAGGTGGGAAATAAAGGGAGGTGAGAGGTGATGGAAGATGGTACTGTTTTATGGAAGATATTCTGCAGAGTCCTCTCTCACAGGAAACATTTCTGAAGACTTGAAGGAGGTGAGAAGCATGTGGAAATCTGCAGGCCCTGAGGTGAAGGTACATTTGGTGCACCATAAAGAAGGGCAGGTGACTGGAGCAGGGACATGAGCAAAAGGGGAAGTCAGAGAAACGGGCCAGAGAGACAGCTTGGAACCAGGCCATGTTACAGAATTTAAGGTTTTTTTGAGTGCATTGGGAAACTGAGGGGTAGATGTTTAAAGGGATATCAAATCTAGGGTGGGAATTTACAACTGATTCTTGTTTTCCAGTTTTCAATATAGATGTATTTTCTACGAACATTCAAAAATGTTTGTAGAAAATGCATATTATGAAAAATTATGCATGGATTTCCAACGTGTTTTCTACCAAAATAAACTCATACTTCATTCCTTTTCCGTGAACATCCTGCAGTCCCTTCATGTCTTCAGTTCAGATGCACATTGAACTAAACACTGTGGAAGATGAAACCCAAACACGAGGGCCAGTTTTGGGGTGCAGAGATAATGCGCAGCTCAAGGGAAAAAAAAAAAAAACAGATCTCACCCAGTAGTTTGAATCTCTGGCTTGGTCAGTCTGAAACATGCTGGGCACACGTGCAAGCACCCAGTATCTGACAAGATGCAGGACTGGAGGAAGGGGATGGTTGTGTGACTAGACCACACTCTTCACTCTCTCTTTCTCTCTCTCTACTCACATACACACATACATGCATGCATGCATTACACCATCTATAAAAATAATAAATAGGGCCAGTCAGTGGCATGGTAGTTAAGGCAGCTGGTTCAACATGACAGATTGGCAGTTGAGTCCCAGTCTCACAGTTTGAAAAACACATGCTAAGTGATGTGTGTGTGTGTCCAAAGTCTCAAAGGAGAAATGAAGAAGGGATTATGGCATAGTCATCCCCCATGGGGGTCAGGGGTGCTTTCTTACTTTCTCTCTTGCTTTTCTCTCTGTCTAGTGGGCACATATGCCTTCTAGCAAAAATTAAAAAAATAAAACAAAATAAATGCAAGCCATCTCTATACTCAGAGTTGTTTTCAGTCTAGCCTGGGAGAAAAGTCACACCCTGGGGAACATTTCAACAACACAGCAAAGAACATATGCTGCATATTTTCCTTTCATGCCTCAGTTCTACTCTATTTTCTGTCCTACTTTGTGCCACAGGAGGCTTTACAGGTGACATCAGTGGACTCCCTTACCCACTGACCCCCAGATGGATTTGGCTAGTAGAAGACACAGCAAGAGATCAAACAGGCCAAAGACAGTGAGGTAAGGCTATTTATCTCCTGGCTTCTCCCATGTTAGTTGGCTGGAGATTGGCTATGCTCCTTGACAGAAGGCCTCGAATCCTAATGGATTGCCTTCTCCTATAGCTGTAGCTACTCCAGCTGAGGAAAATCATCTAGACTTGTCTTTTTAAAATTTTATTTATTATTTTGGGCATGTACACTGACTGGAGAGAGACACAGAGAGGGAAAGTGGGAAAATCATTCCCTAGGGAGTATGGCTATGCCACAATCCCTTCTCCACTGTTCTCCTCTCAGGACTTTGGACATGGAAGCACACATGACCAGTGTAAGTTTTCAAGCCGCTAGGTCTAGGATTCAAATCATAATCAGCCATGTGGGAATCCAATGCCCTAACCACTACACCACCTGCTGACCTGCTCCCTTTTAAGCCTAGAGCTAGTAAGGGTTCCTTCTGTTGCTAGCTCTAGTATGTCTCATCCCTTGTCAACTTTCCTTTGCATAACCATACTGCCGTACGTAGTCTTTTAATTAAATTCTGATTGTGCAATTTTCTTCTATCAGATCCTGACTGATAGAGATGGCAACATATATGTAAGTGCTGTGTGGTGTAGGTTATGGAATCAATGCCATATAACTGCAAAGATCTAAGAGAATCTGGGTTTGTGGGAGAAGTCAGAGCAGGATTCCTGGAGAAGGGAGAGTTTGCCTTGGCTTCCAGAGAATGGGCAGGCTTCTCTCACTTAGAAGAAAAGGCATGCTACGTCAAGGACACCACATAGAGAAGTGGGAATGAGTACTGCAGAAAGAGAGACAGCCCCTACAGCAGAGGAGACAGTGGGGGACTAGAAAACCGGTGGCAGGGAGCAGAGTGCAGCCTGCAGAGAGAGCCCGGAGAGGAGTCACATGGTATGGATGGAAACGAGGCTGCTGGGGACTTCCCAGCAGTAAATTGCTATGAGGGAAGTGCTAAACGAGTCATCGTCATCATGTTGGCAGCAGAGTGGGATGAAAGCACTAGGTTTGAGATTGTTTCCAGGACTAACTGAGGACTGCGCCCCAGGGAGGCAGGGACAGATACAGTTCAGACATTGTTGCTGCTGTCTCTACAGCCCATGCCAGGGGTCTTTATTTTAAAATAGGGAGAAACCAGCAGTTACAGAAGGTCAGATGGTTTGGGGCCACCTTTGGGTCTCACCCAGAATCATACACAGTTCTTGAAACTGGTCGTCTAACATTTTGTAATAAAGCTCATTAAAAATGACCAACTAGGGCCAGCTGGTGTCATGTTGGTTAAGGCAACTAGATCCCACATGACCAGCGGCACCATTCAGGTTGAAAAACATGCCTGATGTGAGTGTGTGCCCCCAAAGTCCTGAAAAGGAGGGAGAGGTGGAGGAGAAGGGATTGAGATGTACCCACTCCACAGGACGTGCTTTCTCTCTCTTTCTCCAGCAATTGCATGTACCCTCTGGTAAGTTAAAACAAGAAAAAACCAACTAACGTGAGACATAACTAAGAGATAACAGGTCAGGGAAGTTTGGAATCCTAAACAATTCCCTCATTGCATCCTTTGCCAGAATTATCAATCACTCAGAAAAAAAAAATGAGTTATTATAAATGAGGGATAAATAGAGTGTTCTCTAGTCCATTTTAATAACTGATGTCTCATCTTGTGGAGAGGATGGATGTACTAGCTTCTGACTAATGCTGTGCACAGAATGTTCAAATTTAAACTAAAAACTACATGCCATCAAATAAAAATGCAAAAATCGAAATACCTCCTCCCCCTTTGTTATCTTGTTTTTAAACAGATATGAAGAGATGAAGGAGAAGGACACTCAGTCACACCAACGGGATCTGCGTGCCATCCTTGCGCAGGGGCCATGCTAATCTTTTCTGTATCATTCCAATTTTAGTATATGTGCTGCCGAAGCAAGCACACTAACAGGATCTGAAACGATCCACTGCCTTGGTCCAATAGGCAACCTTGGATATGGTGGCCCATCCACCATGGTGGTTATGAGTCATCCTGCATCTCTGAACCCTCGGCTCCAAACCTCCAACAGCCAAGTTCAGGGACATATTTTCATTTTCCCTTTGGAGTTAGGTCTAGTATAGAAAGAGTTCAGAAAAGGCTGGTTCAATGTAGTCCTATTCATCAGGAAAACCCATTGATACCAAACTGGGCCTCGTTCTGAGAGCTTCTTAGACTTGAAGGTTAGATGGGAATGGGATGGGGGAATGTAGCAGGGGTCCAAGGCTGAGGAAACCTCTCAAAAAGTTAATGGTGCTTTTCATAGCATCTTAACTGCCTGATTACCCTCAACATAATAGCTGATATTTATGCAAGGCACTTACTATGTTCAGGTACTGTTCTAATAACTACTCATGAACAAATAAGAGGGGACTTCAAAGAGTTTGTGCAAAAATGGAATGGAAGTATGAGGTTTATTTTTTTTATTTCCTTTTTTTAAAAATGATTTTAACTTTATTTATTTACTTATTTTAACTTGACCAGAGAGTGAGAGAATGAGAGAAAGGGAAAATGAGAAAGTAAGCCACCAGGTCCAAGGCTCAAATAGCAGTTGGCCACGTGGGAGTCCAGTGCCCTTAACCACCATGCCACATGCCGGCCCCAGCATGAGACTTTCTTTTCATGCAAAAAATTTTGAAATTCACCCATAGGTATATATATATAAATATATATATAATCACATTGTCCATGAATTTCTGAAGATTTCTTACATGATTCTCTCAACCATCTTGTGTAATAATATTCCCCAACCTGATAAAACAATGGAAAAAAGAAAGACACCCCTTCTCTTTATTTTATCTTAATAAAAGAGGTTTCAATGGGGCTAGCTGGCAGTGGCAGAGGATGTCTAAAGGGACCATTTGTGAAGTGTAAGTGAAGGGGAAACACTAATATCCTGCAGTCCTGCAAGGTCCTAGAAGGTGCCAATGGAATCACTGAGCCCACACATGGCTCCTGGCACCTGCACCAGAGCACCTGCAGTGTGAGAAAGTCCAAACATTCAACGACAACTTGTGACTCAGGCTTGCCACTCCTAACCTAGGCCAGCAGTCTCCCCAATGTTCTCAAGTAAGACCTGTTGAATTGAAGGGTCAATGACAAGCTGTTATCATCAGCTTCCCCTGAGCCAAGCTCTTCTAACCTCACTTTTCCTTCCATAGCTCTCCATGAGTTTTCCCCCAGTCATTTAAAGTTTATCCAGCCAGTTGCAGTGGCACGGCAATAGTGCAATGCTCAGTGATGCTGCAGCCATATGAAAAACCCTGCGGGTTCACATCCCAAGGCGTCCCTAAACATGCAGAGCACGTACACACACACACACACACACATGCACATACACACACAAGATGTGTGCCTCAGCTTGTGCCAGGCATTGCAAAGAAGGTAACTGATACTTAAAATAAGCTTTCCTGGAGCAAGCAGGTGGCAAAGTAATTAAGGTGTTGGACTTGCATGTGGCTGACTGTGGTTAGAATTCTAGACCTGGCAGCTTGACTTTTCACTTTCTCTCTCTCTGTCTTTCTCTCTCTCCCTGTCTTTTTCTAGTGAGAGCATGTGCCCTACAGCAAATTAAAATGATAATAATGAATAAATAAATATGGAAGACATAATGCTAAGCGAAGCAAGCCAGACTATGAAGACGGGCTTTGTATGTCTCCACTCAATATATACTGATTGTCTGTACTCTACAGCAGAAATGGAAAGATTGGAAGGTGTAAGAGGGAGGGCAACTGTAGATTCTAGAGATAATAAGGATACAGGTAATACAGGGGTGGGTAATAGGAGAAGGAAGGAAGGGGAATGGGCAAAAATAATACAGTTAATTGACACAAAAATGAAAAGTTATTTGCTGATGATAATGTATATGGTAATGTCTTTGTCTTGGCTGATATGCACTGTATTCATGCTCAGAAAGCAATGTTGCACACTGTAAAGACGTTTAGTGATTAAATGTAAAAGTGAAATAGTAATAATAAGAAATAAATAAGGAGGACCAGCAGTTAGCGTAATGACTATGTTGCTGAACTCCCACGTAGTCAACCATGAGTCCCAGACCCGGTGGCTTAAACTCACACTGGGCGCGTGTGCGTGTGTGCCCAAGATCCCGAGAAGAGAATGGAGGGGAAGGGATTGCGGTGTGGCCATCCCTCCTGGGGGGTGATTTCTTGCTTTCTGTCTCTCTATCTCGCTCTGTCTTTCTGGCGAGCACACGTGCCCTATAGCAAAAATCTCTCCAAAAATAATAAGTAAATAAATAATTCTAAAAATAAATAGAATAAGCTTCCTCTCCTCAAGAAACTCACTTAGGCAATGAACATCAAGTCTCACTGCACATCGTCTTCCCGGTTGCCCCCTGCATTTATGCACAGATTTGTAGGCTCTATTTGACCTCATACTCCAGGTGGCATTGACTGACACCCTGACACGGCCTAGTCATCTTCTTTCCCGAATTTAGGAGCTCCTGCCATTACTTTATGGTCTTGCTTTTTCAGTTATCTCCCCCCACTGAGGATGGGAGCACAATCACTCTCTCACCTAATGTGTTGGCTGGTGAGAGTTTATGATATTACTCCACTCTGAGGATATCTATTCACTCAATTATTTTAGAAGAGAAAAATAAAGATCCCTCCAAATCTATAGGTATGTAAAAATGAAGCCACCATAGGACAAGAGACTCTTTAGGAAAGTTCTCCCGAAGAGACAACTCTGGAATCTTCTCAAAACACAGCCCTGGAGTCAGCATCCCAGAGCCTGCTCAGGCTATCAGAATAAATTAAATTTAAGAATTCCCCTAAATCACCTAGTATCCTTGGTTTTGAATAAAGATTTCCAATCACCTAGTATTCTTGCTTTTGAATGAAGATTTCTAGATAAAATAATGGAGAAAATGAGTTACTGGAAAGATTATGAAGAATAGTTATTATTATCATTATCATTCATCATAATGATAATCTCTCTTTCCACTTGTTCATCTCAGTCAGAACCAGTCTTTTTCCATTAGCCTGCATGATTCCTAAAGTCAAATATCCTTCAGAGAAACATTCCAGGAGAATCTGACAAAATGTCTATCTATTGTGGAAGCAGCAGAATAAAACTCTACCTTATTCTGCGTATTTTGTTTAACACAAGTTTTACTTTTTTAAATAATTATCTATTTAATTTAATTTTATTTGTTATTGTTATTCAATTAGACCTGAGAGAGACACACAGAGAAAGAGAGAGATTGAGAAAGCAAGCAGTGAGGACCAGGACTTGAACCATCGTAAACGATGTGGGAGTCCAGCACCCCAATCACCATGCCACGTGCCAAGCCCAAGGTTTTACTTTTTTATGTTAATTAATTTTATTTATTTCACAAGAAAGTATGTGAGGGAGTACATACACACAAGGGAGAGAAAGAGGGAGTGGGCATGCACACATGCGCGGGCACCCCGACAGGGTCTCCTCAAACCTCCATCCCCTTCCGCCAGCCCTCCAGCTAGTCAGGACCTGGAGCACGCGGGTGCCCAACATGTTTTCCATCGACCTGGGATTGGAACCACTAGCTGACATGTGACTTCCAGCAGCGCAGATCTGTATGTTCCTGCCTGTGCCACCGAGGCTGGGCCAATGCATACTTAAATTTAATTTGAGAAGATTAATGCAAAAATAGTAACAAAAAAAGTTGTGAGCGTTTATTTTTAAAAAGCCTGAAAAGGTAAGAAATTATTTTTACTCTATTTTAATTTCATTCTTGCTCTTTTGCATTGGATTGTTAGGACTTCATATGGAAATAAACTTTAGGTCATGTCAAAGAAAGGCTCTTCTTGTGTAGTACGAGTAATTGTCGTAACTATGTAGGGATTCACTGACTCAGTTTAGTAAGTAATTAAAACTGTACGTAAAGGGCAAGTTAGAAGGTAGAGACCAAAAGCAGGCTGCAGATAGGTTTTGTTCAGCTTACGAAGAGCTTTATAAAAATGTAAGCCGAATGCCAACATTTAAAAATCAAAAGGTCTTAGGACCAGTGGATGGCGTAATGGTTATGTCACTGGACTCCCACGTAGTCGATCATGGTTTGAGTCTTGGACCCAGCAGCTTAAAACTCATGCCAGTGGGACCAGCAGTTGGCATAATGGCTATGTCGCTGGACTCCCATGTAGTTGACTGTGGCTCGAGTCCTGGATTCAGGGGCTTAAACTCAAGCCAGGTTTGTGTGCATGCATGCTCAAGATGGCAACAGGAGAATGGAAGAGAAAGGATTGCAGCATGGCCTCATCCCCTGGGAGGTGGATTTCTCACTTTCTGTCTCTCTGTTTCTTTCTGGAGAGCACACATACCCTACAGCAAAAACCTCTTAAACAACAACAACAACAACAAAACTCATGCTGGGCACATGTGCTTATGTGCCCAAGATCTGGAGAGGAGAATGGAGGAGAAGGTATTGAGGTGTGGCTATCCCTCTTGGGGGGGGGTTTCTCGCTTTCTGCTTCTCTCTGTCTGTCTGGCAAGTGCACGCACCCTAAAGCAAAAATCTTTCTAAAAACAAATAAATAAATAAAATAAAAACCAGGAGGTTTTACATAAATATCCAGATTTTTTGCTTTTCTGGAAATAAGGCAAAATTCAGCTCTTCTCAGCCCACATGGCAAGGTAAGACACCCCGTCACGACTCCTTCACACCCCCATGTGCTCGACCCGCTTCCCTCACCTGATAACCCCAAAGATCACCACAGGTCCTACCACTTCCTGTTATTGTGTGTGGTTTGACCCATTGGTCGGTTTTACCCACTGATAGCACCTGACTTTCTCCAGCACACATTTGGGCGTCTGACCTGCAGTGTCGGTTTTGTTTCCTGAAATTTCCTTACTGCCCTTACCTTGCTGCAGATTTCTCTCTATTCTTCCTTTTAATTTCTTATGCTCCATTTCTTGGTGCTACTGCGGTAACTAACAAAGATCAGTTGTGATTTGAGGATTCATGCTAAGGCCTTTTAAACTGGTTTTGTGTGTAAATATGTATCTGGCAAAAGAAACATTGTTTGGTCTTCTAGTTGACAATTAAATCAATTTATACTTAGTACCAAAGAGTGTGGAAACCCTAGAATTGCCTCTTATTTAAGAACCAATGGCAATGAAAACTGTACTGTTTTGCCCTTTGGTGACCCGTAACAGCTACTCTAGACAGAGCTAGCTCTATTTTGGGATTCTTTTTATACATTATAAGCACACGAGTGATATCTTATGGTTACAGTTTGCTTTTTCAAAAAGCAGTATTAAGGTTCTGAACTTCTTATAGAAGTTCACAAATAGGTTTTGTATCAAGCAGCCACTCAAATAGGTCTCGATATGAAAAAGCTGTAAGAAATATATATTGAAGACATAGGTGAGTTTTAAAGCAAACTGTTTATTCAACATCACTGCTTAGCTATCTAATCAATAAGTATCCCAAACTTAATATAGCCAATGTTAATGTCTCACTTCTACTTTTCTCCAAACCTTTTTTTTTCTTTCTTTCTTTTTTTTCATTGTGGTCCATATCTCAGTAAATGGCAGCTCCATCTCTTTAGGTGCCCAGGCCAAACTTTCTGGAGTCATTCTTTCTTTTTTGAAAATTTCTTTCATGACCTGGAGAGCATGAGAGAGTATGCAAGAGAGAAATGCAGCTAACCCTGAGGGGGTTTCGCACATGGTGACCCTCTTGCCCCAGCCCTCTGGCCTGTCAGGATGACAGGCACACCCAGCGAGTTCAGGCCAACTGGAAAGTCAGCGCCCTTCTGCCTGTGTCCCCACTCACGCCCCTGGGATCACTCGCACTTCCTCTGTTGCTCTTGTACATCACATCCCATCCATCCACAAATCCTGTTGCTTTTACAATAAAAACATCCAGAGTCCACCCATTTCCCACTACTGCCACTCATATCACCACACTCAAAGGCCCTGTTATCTCTCACCTGAATTATGGGAAAAGCCTCATAATAGAAATTCGGATCTCTTTATAATGTAGGATCGTGTGACTCCTCTTCTCAAAACTCCCCAACAGTTTCCCATTAGCCAGAGCAAAAGCCGAAGTCCTGGGAGTAGCCAAAAGCTCCTGTGCAATTTGCATGCACACCATCTACTTCTGGGATGTTCTTACTCCACTCTGCCGCATTCACTCTGCCCCTGCCACGCTGGCCTCATTGCTGTTCCTGGAACACACCACACAGGCCCCGCCTCCAAGCTCTTGCTCTCCCTAGAAAGCCCTTCCCTTGCTCAGATGTTTACCTTCTTGATGAGGCCTTCCTTGAACACTATTTAACATTACCTCACTCCTGCTTAGACGCTAGCTCTATTTTCTCCATGCTTATCCTCATTTGATATTGTTTGAGTCCATTTTGTTGCTAATAACAGAAAATATCTGAAACTGGGTGATTTATAAAACAGGTTTACTCAGCTCATTGTTTGGAGGTTCAAGGTCCAGGGGTCGTGTTTGGTGGGCGTCTTGGACTGATCACATCGGGAGGATCAGAGCACAACGGAGGGGTTCTCTGTGAGTCTCTGTGTTCTGATCTTCTTCCCTCTCCTATAAACTCATCAGAATTCAGTCACGGGGTGATCACTTCAACACTTCCAAAGACCCCATTATTCTACACCATGAAGATACTAAGCTGACTCTTAATATCTATACAACCAAACCCCAACATCCCAATTTCGAGGGGCCACAAGCCATAACGGATCTGTAGAGTCTTTTTACTTACTTGTTCCTGTTTGCTTCCACTAGAACACATGCTTTCTGAGGGTGGGGACATCCATCAGTCTTTTTTCCACTGCTATTTTTCTATATCCAGAACAGAGCCTGGGACATAAGAGTTCTTTGATAGGGACTAGTAGATGGTGTAATGGCTGTGTTGCTGGACTCCCACATAGTTGACAATGGTTCCAATCCCAGACCCGGCAGCTAAAAATTCATGCCATGTGAGAGTGCATGCATGTCCGAGATCCCGAGAGAATGTAGAATGGTGGATAGTGGAGTGGTCATCCCACTTGGGGGGTGATTTCTTGCTTTCTTTCTCTCTCTATCTTTGGTGAGTATATATGGCCTATAGCAAAAATCTCTTTTTAAAAAAAGTTTCTTGATAAACAATTCATGAATGAATTAGGTAGAAATGTCTTCAATTTAAACATTTCTATTATCAGAATTACAATCTGTAAAAAAGAATGTATGCTTCCAATCATGAGCATATTCATATGATTGTCTAAAGAATAAAAGCCAAAATAATAAATGTTCGCTGAATATGACCCATGGTTCATGGTTTATCAAAGCTAAGCCTTGTAGCCAAGTTCCAAAATGTGGAATTTCAATATGTAAATAAAGGGAATTCACAATTTTAAGTTATGCCATACCAACAGGTAAAGGACTCGATTTCAATAGTGTTGACCTCTGTTCACTGTCGACCTATCCAGATTCCAATACATCTCAGATAAGCCTTTTTGGGGAGGCATATTTTGGCCATTCTGGCTACTGGACAGTTTCTGGGTCTGCATTCTACTCTGTTCATTCAGTTTCATCACTGACTGCTGCATTTGTCTCAACTTCTGGCCATGAGCTAAGATGTTACAGTTCTTAATTCCACATTATTTAGATGCAGCAGGCTTCTTCCAAATGGAAAAATAAAAGTACAGAAAATAAAAGAAAATAAAAAAGGTAAAACCAAAACACAATAAGAAAGTCTGCTACTTCAGTAAAGATGATGACCAAACCAAACCAAAGAGACAACATATTATACATATTAAAGTTTCTGTTAGGTGTTGGTTTGTGAGTACTAATTTAGGCATGGATGTAGTTTATTATACATGTTATCAAAGAAACTGTGGTACAAAGGACGTGACAAATTGTCTAACATTATTATTAATTCTGGAATTGGCATTTACCCACTTTGGGGAATGTGTGTGTGTGTGTGCTAACTTTTCTTCAAAGCACTCCAAGACAGTTTACAAAGTGTTTACCCCATATAGGCAACTGCACTAAGAGATTTACATGTAGTCGCTTGCTATAACATTGTAAGGTGAAGTATGTTATTGTTATCATTAACAGATGAGAGGGCTAAGGCAAAAAGAGGTTAGACAATTGCCTGAGGTCAAAAACTCAGTTATCTGTAGTGTCTGGTTTGCACCCAGTAGTCTGTCTCTACGTTGATGATCTTAACCATTGCAATAAAAAAGAGAGAGAGAGAGAGAGAGAGAAAGAGAGAGAATAATACAGTAACAGAACTCAGTTCATTAAGGTGTTTATAAAGTCTTAGTTAAAGGCAGTGAGAAAGTTATATGGGAGGTACAGAATAAAGAAAAGTTGCCTTGTGCAGTGTCAAAAGCACTATTGGGAATCTGACAACCTTTGAACAGATAGATCCAGTCAAAAATGTAAAACTCAAACCTAACCAACATAAATTCTTTCATCCTCTCACAATCCCTGGCTCTCTAATGTGAAATCCCAGAAAAGACCGGCTATCATGCAACGGCAGAAAGAGTACAAGGGCATAGCAGGATATTCTGCCCCAGAGGTTTTGTTTTGTTTTGTTTTGTTTTACTGAAACCAGTACAAGTGCTCTAATGACTCCACTGGACATACAGAGGAATGTAGCACAGGGTCGCTCTGCACACTCCAGCTGAACCGACAGCAGGACAGGACAACAGGATGGCTGTCCTTCCCAAGCAGGAAAGGCCAGGGACTCATAAAGAACATGCCACTGCCTCTCTCTAAATTCTGGTCACATGCATCAAACATACTTTCAGAATACTCACTAAACTGCTTCTGCTGCTCATTTAGGAAGCAACAGCAAAGTCTCCAGACAGTCAGTTGTAAATTTATTCCTTTTCTTTCTCAGTAAGCTTTTGGAATACTTTTTCTTTAGTGTCCAATACAAACACATTGCAATCAACTTAAGAAAAGCAAAACTCTTTAAATGTGCCTTATCCTTATGCTTAAAACATAGGCTACCAATGTAATTTTAAAAATGTTTTTGTAGATATAGTGCCCTAAGTTCTTCCAAAGCACCAAGGAGGAGCATTCTGCTTACAGTAAGGGCTCGTTCAATGTTTGTTAAATTAAGCACACATTTTGAGACTCAGAGGACATGGTATGCTTTCTAAGATGTAAATCTGACTGGATGACACCTCTATTTAAATGCTTCTGTGGCGCCCTTCTGTTCTTGGGATAAAGCCCAAATCCTTAGCATAAAGTTTAGGGTAAGTAGATCTTTGAACATGCTACTTTCCTCACCTGGAATGCCTTCTGCACACTCCCTCTATGCCTCCCAATGGCCTTTCAGTCTTTCCTGACCCCTCTCTAACAAGACTGGGTTGGATAGTATATTAGGCATGGTTTCTCAGAGAAGAGAATCAATAATATTTATGTAGTGTTTCAGTCCATTATTGTGTTGCTGACAAGAATACCTGAGATTGGGTGATTTTTAAGGAAATTGATGTTTATTAACTCACAGTTCTGGTGCCCGAGAAGTCCAAAACCATCATAAAATGGTGGAAGGTAGAATTTTGAGCAAAGCAGAGCAGAGTGTGGTCTGCTTCTGTGTGGCCTCTTCCTGTCTCATTTCCTCTTTTTATGTACACAACTATAAATTCAACTATGGGGCCTTATTTCAATGTCTTATTTTTTTATTTCTCTCTCTCTCTCTCTCTCTCTCTCTCTCTCTCCTTTTTTTTTTTTTTTTTTTTTTTTTTTTTTTTTTTTTTTTTTTAGCGATTTTTACTATAGGGTGCATGCTCTTGCCAAAGAAACAGAGAGACAAAAAGTGAGAAATCACACTCTGGGGCAGATGGCCAGGCCACAATACCTTCTCCATTCTCCTCTCAGGATTTTGGTTACACATGCACATGAGCCCAGCATGAGTTTTAAGCCCCCAGGCCTGGGATTCAAACCACAGTTACTTTGTGGGAGCCCAGCAACGTAATCATTACACCATCTGTTTGTCTCAGTTCAATGTCTTTAATATGCCCAATGACCACATCCTGGAACACCATGAAGGGATTATACTTTCTCTTGACATCGCTACAGTATGACCAAACTCAACACATGAACTTTGGGAGAATATCCAAACCTCACACGTCAAGACCAAATTCTAAAACATGAACCATTGGGAGATAAACCATTATCCAGACTATCACATATAAATAGACAGAAAGAGATTTATTTTAAGGGTGGAGCATGCAGTTATGAAAGTTGAGAAGTCCTATGATTTGCTGTCTACAAGCTGGGAGACCAGCTTATAGCTCCAGTCCAGACTCAAGAACCCAAGAACTGGGAGCCAATGGAGTAATTCCTGGTCCGAGTTCAAAGCCCTGAGAACCAGAAAGCCTGAGGACAGAAGAAGATAGTTATCCCAGTTTAACTTGAAAGAGCAAAATCTCCCTTCCTCTGCTATTCAGACCCTCAACAGACTTGATGATGCCCACTTACTTTGGGAAGGGTGAATACTCTTTACAACTACTGATTAAAATACTTACCTCTTTGGAACCAGCAGGTGGTATCATGGTTGAGGTGCTGGACTCCTACATGGCCAGCTACAGTTCAAGGTCTGGACCTAGTGGATTGCTTTCTCACTCTCTCTCTCTGCTGAGCACATGTACCCTACAGCAAACTTAAAAATAATAAGAAGATAAAATAAATATGAATAAAACACTAAGTTCTTTTGGACACACCAAGACAGACACACTCAGAAATAATGTTTTACCAGCTATCTGAGCATGCCTTAACCCAGTCAAGTTGACACATAAAATCAGTCATCACAGATGTCGTCTTACATACTGCTAGACTACACATTCATTGAGGATAGAGATTATATTTTTTTCTCGCTTGTGTCCCCAGCACATAGTATAGAATTGACAAATGTGTATTTAATGAATAAACAATATTATCAATATCATCACAAGAGTGATATAAGACTAAACTAGATCACATACTTTTTCTAGATAGCCAGTCAAATGTCAACCACGGCACACTTTCCATCTGTACTTTTCTTTAACAATGTTTGTTTGTTTGTTTGTCTGGTTTTGGAGAGGTTTTTGCTACAGGGCTCCTGCATTCGCCGGAAAGACCGAGAGAGACAGAGAGATAGAAAGCAAGAAATCACCCTCCCACCCCGGGGAGTTGGTTATGCCACAATCTCTCC